GTGTGGTGTGTTTTGATACAGAGTCTGCTCTGTCACCCAGGCTGGAGTGGCAATGGTGCAATCTCGGCTCCAATCTCTACCTCCTGGGTCCAAGGGATTCTCCTGCCTCAGCCTCCCGAGTAGGCTGGATACAAGGGTGCCTGGCACCACACCCCTGCTAACTTTTTTTTGTATTTTTTAGTAGAGAGGGTTCACCACGTTGCCAGGCGTGGTCTCAAACTCCCTGACCTCAGGTGATCCACCCACCTTGCTCCCAAAGTGTGATTACAGGGCATAATTCCACCAGGTCCAGACATATATGTGTTTTTAAAATAGTTCTTACCCTGCCTGAGTCTGCTCAGACCGGATAGGGCGGCAGCTGCAGATAAATTTCCTTTCTCCCATTCAACCCCGGATGCCTTCTGAGTCAGCAATGATATACTCACCACATACGACTATCTGGACTGTGTTGCTTTTCTTGACCACTTTGTCAATACCTGCAGTGCAGATATACGTCCCACTGTCCCCCTTTGAGGCTATCTTGGTGAAATTTTGAGTCTGAGACACAATCGTGTCTCCCTTCTGGATGGTGAAATTGGCTGGAGGTGCTCCTGGGATGGAGCAGGACAGGTTCAGTCTTTCACCTTGGTCCAGACGTGTGAAGGAAGTTTCCAGTTCGGGCTTGGAAAATAGTTCTGAAACACAGTGAGTGGGAATGGAGCGAGATGTGTCTGGCCACCACCCTAAAAGCCCCTTCCTGGAGAGGCCCTTGGGTCGGGTGCTCTTAGCAGAACCAACTTTCAACTTCCAGCAAAAAGTTTTCCTTTGCTTCTCATATACCTAATGATCACCCCAGTAAGGAATTAGGGTTCATTCTTTGCCTAGGATTCCAATGGCAGGTTTTCCTTTCTTGTTAATCCAATGTATTTCAATGACAAGGATCAGAAAAGTTTTGCCACTTGTGGTCAGGTGTGGTGGCTCACACCTGTAATCTCAGCACTTTGGGAGGCAGAGGTGGGTGGATCACCCAAGGTCAGGAGTTGAGACCAGCCTGAGCAACTTGGTGAAACCCCATCTCTAATAAAAATATAAAATTAGCCAGGCATGGTGGTGCCTGTAATCCCAGATACTCAGGAGGCTGAAGCAAGAGAATCCTTTGAACCCAGGAGGCAGAGGTTGCAGTGAGCCGAGATGGCTCCACTGCACTCCAGCCTAGGCAACAAGAGTGAAACTCCGTTTCAAAAAAAAAAAGAAAAGGAAAGGAAAGTTTTGCAGCTTGTAATGCAGCAAATATTAATTCATGAATTCACTCATTTATTTATTCACTCACTCATTTCACCCCACAAGTATTTATTGCAGGTTCTCTCTGTGGTGGGCCCCTTGCTAGAGTAGCAGTGAATAAGAAACAGTCTCTGACTTCAAAGTGCTTACATTTAGTGGTTGATTTAGATGCATTGTTTGTGGCAGAGCCCATAGAAAAAACACTGAACTGGCCGGGCGCGGTGGCTCATGCCTATAATCCCAGCATTTTGGGAGGCTGTGGCGGGCGGATCACAAGGTCAGGAGATCAAGATGAGCCTGGCCAACGTGGTGAAACCCCGTCTCTACTAAAAACACAAAAAGTATCTAGGTGTGGTGGCAGGGGCCTATAATCCCAGCTACTCAGGAGGCTGAGGCAGGAGAATCGCTTGAACCCGGGAGGTGGAGGTTGCAGTGAGCCGAGATTGCGCCACTTCACCCCAGCCTGGGCAACAAGAACAAAACTCAGTCTCAAAAAAAAAGAAAAGAAAAGAAAAAACACTGAACGTAGCCTTGGGGAATCAGGGAAAGGCCTCTTGGAGAAAGTTATCCAGGGAAAGTGTCTGAGACAGAATGTCTCAGTCCATCTGGGCTTCTATCACAAAATGCTGTAGACGGGCCTATTTATGTCTATGAATTCTTCACAGGTAAAACCGAGTCTTAGGTAGCCCTTTATCCCCAGTTAGTTGCCCAGCATACAGAAAATGCTCAATATGTGTTGAACTTGTACTTTTCTTTAATGAGATAATATAAATTGTATCAGTAAAAAAATACCATGAGTCATCAAAATGTAAGTCATGACCAATATTTACTAAATTGCTAACACACACTATAGACCAGCAGGACCCAATGTATATGCCAATATCCCAGTTGGGTAGTTGGCAGCCTACCTATGGTGCTGGGGACTGTTGCTGACACTGCACACTCAATGCTTGTCACATAGGAGGCTTTTAGTAAATAACAGAACAAATGAATGAATGAATGTATGAACGCAGACACATGAGAACACCTTCACCGTGCAATCAAGAAGTGCTGACTCTCTCTGTCCCCTGAAACATTGTCATCCAACACTCATTCCCTCATCCAACAAATATGTATTGACTTCCTACTGTGTGCCAGGCACTGTTCTAGGTGTTAAGGATGTAGCACTGAACAAAATAATGTTCCTGCTCTCAGCGGCTTACATTCTAGTGACTGCATACACATAATAAACAAGAAAGGTAGAGTATATTTTTGGAAAAACATACTCTACCCTTTTTGGAAAAAAAGAAAAGAAAACGTATATAAACCCATCATACAGTGTTTGACGAAGGGTAATTGTTCTTATTTTTTTCTTTTTCTTTTTTTTTTTTGAGACAGAGTCTCACTCTGTGGCCCAGGCTGGAGTACAGTGGCACAATCTCAGCTCACAGCAGCCTCTGCCTCCCAGGTTCAAGAGATTCTTGTGCCTCAGCCTACCGAGTAGGTGAGATTACAGGCATGCTGCCATGCCCAGCTAATTTTTGTATTTTTAGTAGAGATGGGGTTTTACCATATTGGCCAGGCTGGTCTCGAACTCCTGGCCTCAAGTGATCTGCCCACCTTGACCTCCCAAGTCCTGGGATTACAGACGTGAGCCACCATGCCCAACCATGTTATCATTATTTTTGAGTTTACTAACGCTTTCTCCTTTGTGGCCCTGTCACAGGACCCATGTCTGGGATCTAGCATAGTGCTTGTCCCAGGGGATGGAGAAATATGAGAGAGGAAAGACAACATTAACCAGTATTCATAGAGTCTTACTCTGTACAAGTCTCTCAGCTCATGCTTACAGCATAGTTATCTCATTATAGCAGTCCTAAAAGGTGAGTGCGGTCATCATCACCGTCTCACAGAGCTGCGGCACATTCAATAACTCACCCAAGGTCACAGAAGCAGTGAGCGGCAGGGCTGAGTTTCAGTGCTGCAGCCTGTACCCTCAACAAGCACAGTGGACTGTTAACTTGCTCTGCACTGGCTTCTTCCCACGAGCACCAAAGCCCCACCTGAGCACATCCATTCAGATAAGCAGGGGCGGAAAATGTATCATCTCTCTTTGGCCATGCTGGATTGCAGCATATTGGCTCCTTGAGCCCACCATATGCCAACACCCTCCCGCAGCGGCAGCCCTACCTGTTACGTTGACGATGATGCTGCTGACCTTGGATATGCGACTGGACTCCACTTTGCATGTGTAGTTGCCATTGTGCTCCACCATGGCCATGACTGAGTACACAGCCTCGTTGCCGTGTCTGCTGTGGGCCACAATCGCCTTGTCCTTCTGAATTATGATTTCTGGAAACTCCTGGGCCAGGTGAGTCACTTGAATGGTGCACTTAATGTGGAGTTGAGCTCCTTCTGTGATCATTCCAGTGGGGCTGATGTGGAACTTGGGTGTAGAGAAGGATTCTGCAAGAGACGAAGGCAACCCGGTTGGACTCAGGTGCAAACCTGGGCAAGAGGAACCTCTTCTGCTCTTTTTGCTGCTTCCCCTTTTCCAACTTCTATTGTTCCTAACTAACTTTAAAAATTCAACCTTTCCTCTCTAAAACTTTTGCCTGGGCTGCTCTCATACCCCCTCCCTTCTCACTCACTCTTGCATCTTCAGGCTTCTTCACTGCAAGTCTCTGGCTTTCTGAAGCTTCCCAAAGGCCAAACACCTTCTCTAGATCTCGCCTGCAGAACCTTCTTCGGATGACTTCAGAGATAACCACTGTATTTAGAAATGATCTTCCTCCTGCCCACTACGAATTTTCTAGGCTCTTGTCAGCACTTCATGGAAGCTTGGCATTTCAGCATGAAGATACTGTAGCTTAAAAAAGTTCAGCTATGTGAAATGGGCTGCTTCATGGAAATGCGTATTTAAATAATCGCATGCCTCCAAAAAAGTGGCTTCTAGTCTTTTCTATTTCATTTTTTAAAATCCTGGCCATCATTCACTAAACTGATTTCATGACTCACACAGTTGAAAAACAATTTTGCCTGGGCGTGGGGTCTTACGCCTGTAATCCTAACACTTAGGAAGCCCAGGAGTTCTAGAACAGCCTCTGGGCAACATAGTGAGACCTTATCTCTATGAAAAAAGAAAAATAATTTTAATCAAGTATAGGTCAGATACCAACCAGGGCATAGGATCTTCAGGGAAGTGGGGATAGGTCCTAGGCTTTCGTTTCCACTTACAACAAAAAAACAAGCCCAGGCCATAAACTGGAATATATACACAGATTCCAACTGTGTAAAATATAGAGTAGGGATATTTTAAAAATGCTAATAGTGAATTTAGAGTAATCTAATACTTTAATATTCATTAGTGATTTTTAACATTATAAAGTCAATTCATAATAAGAAGTTATCATAAAATAATAGCATATGACTTCTCAAGTAAAAGTAAAAAAGGGGAAGGCATCCTTTACATGTTTTAGGACTCTCAAATTTCAGGTCTTCTGGGGAACCTTAATAATAGCTGAAGGGTGTTTTTCTTTCACCCAGATCAACTCCAGATGCACCAGATATGTAAATGCAGGGGGAAAAGAAGTGAAACCACAGCACAGGAAAAGAAAACATAGATGCGTTTTTTTCCTTTAATAATCTTGACATGCGAAGTATGTATGTCAAGACTTTTAAGTATGAATCACAAAACTGAGGCGCCATAAAGAAACAAAACAGGTAAGTTTGACTAACTGAAGATTAAAAACTTCAGCACGGAAAACTTATCATAAAACTAAAAGAAAAATGACCAACTAGAGAAAATATTTGCATAACATCACTGACAAATAACTAATTAATTTATAAAAGACTCAGCTGGGGGCGGAGGCTCATGCCTGCAACTCCAGCACTTTGGGAAGCTGAGGCAGGAGAACTGCCTGAGCTAAGGAGTTTAAGACCAGCCTAGGAAACATGGTGAGACCTTCCATCTCAAAAAAACATATTACAAAATATTTTTTAAAATAAAATAAAGGTGGCAGTCGCAGTGGTTCACACCTGTAATCCCAGAACTTTGAAAGGCCGAGATGGATGGATCACGAGGTCAGGAGTTTAAGACCAGCCTGGCCAAGATGGTGAAACTCTGTCTCTGCTAAAAATACAAAAATTAGCTGGGCATGGTGGCAGCCCCCTGTAATCCCAGATACTCGGGAGGCTGAGGCAGGAGAATCACTTGAACCTGGTGGGCAGAGGTTGCAGTGAGCCGAGATCGTGCCACTGCACTCCAGCCTGGGCGACAGAGTGAGACTTCATCTCAAAAAAATAAATAAATAAAAATAAAAATAAAATAAAGGGCTTGAACAAATCCAATCAGGAACAATAAAAATGATTTTAGTCAAATTTACCTATCCTGTTTCTTTATGGCACTGGAGTTTTGTGATTCATAATAAAAATGACAAGGCATATATGAATAGGCGGTTTACAGGAAAAAAATGTAATAGATGAATAAACAAACTCAACCTCACTAAAAACTAAAGAAATACAAATCACCACAACAGTGATATATATCACTATACCTCAACTAGATTGTCAAAAGTAATAAAACATTGAAATACTCTGTTGGGACCAGGCGCAGTGGCTCATGCCGGCAATCCTAACACTTTGGGAGGCCAAGATGGGAGGATCACTTGAGGCCAGGAGTTCGAGAACAGCCTGGTCAACATAGCAAGACCCTAATCTCTATTTAAAAAGAAAGGAAGGAAGGAAGGAAGGAAGGAAGGAAGGAAGGAAGGAAGGAAGGAAGGAAGGAAGGAAGGAAGGAAGGAAGGAAGGAGAAAGAAAGAAAGAAAGAAAGGAAGGAGAAAGAAAGAAAGAAGGAAAGAAAGGAAGGGAGGAAGGGAGGAAGGGAGGAAGGGAGGAAGGGAGGGAAGGGAGGGAAGGGAGGGAAGGGAGGAAGGGAGGAAGGAAGGAAGGAAGGAAGGAAGGAAGGAAGGAAGGAAGGGGAAAGAAAGAAAGAAAGAAAGAAAGATTCTGTTGGTAAGGATGTGGGAAAACAAACACTAGCATCACTTCTGATGAAAATGTTCAACTACCTTGAAGAGCACTTTGGCAATATCTAGCACTTTGGCAATATTGAGCCAGGCACAGTCGGCCAAACCTTTTATAAATTAAAGGAATTAGCTCTTTGTCAAAGGTACTACGCAAATATTTTCTCCAGTTTGTCGTTTGTCTTTTTATTTTATGATAAGTTTTTCATGCTGAAGTTTTTGTTGTTGCTGTTGTTTTGAGATGGAGTCTCACTCAATCACCCACGCTGGAGTAAAGTGACTCGGTGGCTCACTGCAACCTCCACCTCCCAGGTTCAAGTGATCCTCCTGCCTCAGCCTCCAGAGTAGCTGGGACTACAGGTGCCCACCACCACAGTTGGCTAATTTTTGTATTTTTAGTAGAGACAGGGTTTCACCATGCTGTCCAGGCTCGTCTCAAACTCCTGACTTCAGGTGATCCACCTGCCTCGGCCTCCCAAAGTGCTGGGATTACAGACGTGAGCCACCATGCCTGGCCTCATGCTGAAGTTTTTAACTGAAAATGCACAGGCCAGCTGTGATGGTTCATGCCTGTAATCCTAGCACTTTGGGAGGCTGAGGCAGGCGGATCACCTGAGGTTGGGAGTTCGAGACCAGCCTGACCAACATGGAGAAACCCCATCTCTACTAAAAATATAAAAATTAGTCAGGTGTGGTGGTGTACACCTGTAATCCCAGCTTCTCTGGAGGCTGAGGCATAAGAATTGCTTTAACCCGGGAGGCAGAGGCTGCACTGAGCCGAGATCACGCCACTGCACTCTAGTCTGGGCGACAGAGCGAGACTCTGTCTCAAAAATAAAACAAAAAACACACACACAAAACCAAACCAACCAAACAAAAAGCATCATATATATTAAGAGTAAAGTGTTGTTGGCGAAACTCTCGTTTGAAAAATTACATGCAATTTAACTGTATCACAGTCAAAAAAGCTTGAAAAATACTGGCTTAAAATGATTAAGAACAGGTCTTAAGTCCTGAGAACAACAGCCCAGTCAGAAGGCCCAACCCCTTTCCAGTTCTGGGTTCTTTCTCCCCATGCCAAACCAGAAACCACAAAGAACGATGAGAAAGGGAGCAGGACTCTGACCCCTTACGGTGACCAGTTCACTCTTGGTAGATTCTGAGGTCTGCACATGGATCCCAGCAATGATCCTAGCTTGACATCGGAAGGATAAAACGCTGTCCTGTTCCTCAATGGGGAATTCCAGCATCACAAAATTCTGGTCCCGAGAAGTCTTCTCTCTTTTTTGCTTGGCCATTTTTTTATTTAGTTCAAGTTTTTCAATTGTGAAGTGTATTGGGGCCTTTTCCTCTGGGACGGAACAGTTGACCCTCACGACCCCACCTTGGATGGCCTCTTTCTTGTCCAGGGTCACCCTGGGACTGGGCACTCCTATGGGGAAAGAGAAAGTCTGTCAGTATCAGCCTGACTGAGAGACACAAGCCTCCCTCTGCTGAGTGACTGTAGTTGACCCATGAGAGGATTCTTTTTTGTTCTCTGAATACCCAGTGCGACCTACCAGGTAATAACTGAACAGGTATGTACCCAGCACAGTACCAGGTACTTTGAAAAATATAAAATCTGGAGGCCGAGGTGGGTGGATCTCTTGAGCCCAGGAGTTTGAGACCAGCCTGGGCAACACAGTGAAATGCCGTATCTACAAAAAAAAAAAAAATTAGCCAGTGGTAGTTAGTGGTGCGCACTGGTAGTCCCAGCTACTTGGGAGGCTGAGGTGGGAGAATCGCTTCAGTCCAGGAGGTTGAGGTGGCAGTGAGCAGTGAGTCCACCACTGCACTCCAGCCTGGGCAACAGAGACCCTGTCTCAAAAAAGAAAAGAAAGAAAAGAAAAGAAAAGAAATAAAATATGCTCAATGGGAGTTAAGCTATGAGGAAGCAAAGGCATAAGAATGAGACAATGGACTTTGGGGACTCAGGGGAAAGAGTGGGAGTGGGGGGAGGGATAAAAGACTACACATTGGGTACAGTGTACACTGATCAGGTGATGGGTGCACCAAAATCACAGAAATCACCACTAAGGCCACACAAGGTGGCTCACATCTGTAATCCCAACACTTTGGGAGGCTGAGGCAGGGGGATCACCTGAGGTCAGGAGTTCGAGACCAGCCTGGCCAACATGGCACAACCCTGTCTCTACTAAAAATACAAAAACTAGCCGGGCATGGTGGCAGGCACCTGTAATCCCAGCTACTTGGGAGGCTGAGACAGGAGAACTGCTTGAACCCCGAAGGCAGAGGTTGCAGTGAGCTGAGATCACGCCACTGCACTCCAGCCTGTGCAACAGAGTGAGACTCTGTCGCAAAAAAAAAGAAATTAAATAAATTTAAAAAAAAATTAGTTAAAAAAATAAAATATGGTCAAGATGTAGTTGGTGTTTTCAATGGTTTATAATCCCATTGGGAAGAGGACACAATTGGATTCCCAACAGATGATGCTTAGAGGGGAAAGGTAGTCAGTATTTGTCAGTGTCACTGTGATTGTTGTTACCCTTTATTGAATGCAGCCACAGGCTAGGACTGACTTTAATTTATTCCATGAACATTGACTGAATGCCTACTATGAGCCAGATTCGTTGTTCAAGATATAAAAATAAACCAACCACCGTCTCTGTCTTTACAATTTCACTATCCAGAAGAGCAGACAGAAGTGTAAGAAAGGATGGCAATACTGAGTGAAATAGGAAATTTGTGGACCGGGCATGGTGGCTCACGCCTGTAATCCCAACACTCTGGGAGGCCAAGGCGGGTAAATCACTTGAGGTCAGGAGTTCGAGACCAGCCTGGCCAACATGGTAAAATCCCGTCTTTACTAAAAATACAAAAAATTATCCAGGCACAGTGGCGCGCGCCTGAAATCCAAGTTTCTTGGGAGGCTCAGACAGGAGTTGCTTGAACCCAGGAGGCGAAGGTTGCAGTGAGCCAAGGTTGCACCATCACACTTTAGCCTGGGCGACGGAGGAAGACTCTGTCTCAAAATAAATAAATAAATTTCCATTTATTAGGAACTCACTAGGTGCTGGAAATTTTGCTAAGCACTCTACCCACATGACAGCTTTTAACCCTCTCAATAATTGCCTGAACTGGGTCTTGTTGTTATCTTCCTTTTACTGGTGAGGATTTTGAAGTTTAGAGCTGTTAAGGGACTTGCCCAGATTGTAACCCAGGCAGAGTGACTGCTGAATGCAGTGTCTTAACACACCACTGTGGCCTTTATACACACAAATACCATTGAATGTAGAGAGAGCATCAGAGCTGTAATGACTGGCACCCTCGGGCAGATCAATTTTGTTTTGAAAAGAGAAGACGTCATTGAGTTGAGTCTTTTTTTTGAGACGGAGTCTCGTTCTATAGCCCAGGCTGGAGTGCAGTGGCGCAATTTCAGCTCACTGCAAGCTCTGCCTCCCGGGTTCACGCTTCTCCTGCCTCAGCCTCCTGACTAGTTGGGACTACAGGCGCCCGCCACCACACCCGGCTAATTTTTTGTATTTTTAGTAGAGACGGGGTTTCACTGTGTTAGCCAGGATAGTCTCGATCTCCTGACCTCGTGATTCACCCGCCTCAGCCTCCCAAAGTGCTGGGATTACAACTGTGAGCCACTGCACCTGGCCTGAGTTGAGTCTTGAGAAAGAAATCGTAATTTATGAGATGAGATGAAGAAGCACTTTGGGAGGCCAAAGTAGGTGGATCACTTGAGGTCAGGGGTTCAAGACAAGCCTGACCAAATTAGTGAAACCCCATCTCTACTAAAAATACAAAATTAGGCAGGCGTGGTGGCACACACCTGTAATTCCAACTACTTGGGAGACTGAGGCAGGAGAATCACTTGAACCTGGGAGGTGGAGGTTGCAGTGAGCGGAGATAACGCCCCTGCACTCCAGCCTGGGCAACAGAGTGAGACTCCATCTCAAAAAAGAAAGAAAGAAAGAAAAAAAAAAGAAATAGCCTGGCCTATTGGAAATATATCTAGTGCTTACATTTTCAGGTAAGGAAAATGCCAGGCAGATGAATGAGAGGGTGATGGGTGGAGAGTTAAGTCCAGCGTCACTATTCATTCACAGCTGTTATTCACGCCACTGTGTTATGCTCCATCTGCTTGCCTGTGCTTAGTTCCAAGGACTCACCTCTCACCAACACCTGGTACTCTGATGTGGTTTTCTCTTTGTTGTTCACAATCACAGTACATTTGTACGTCCCTGAGTCATAGACCCGGGCTTCAGGAATAAAATAACTCTCTGTGCTCTTCATGGAGGAGATGTTGTAAAATAGCACGTCATCCTTATAGAACAGCATCTGGTGCTGAGGCTTGACGTGAGAGGTGGTGCTGACGTCCGCGCAGCACTGCAGGGTCAGGTTCTTCCCATTTTGCACCGTCCAGTCTGGCAGGCTCTTCATGTCGACACTGTTGATCGTGAAAGCTAAATGCAAAGGGAAGGAAGGCAGACATACCTGTTATCTCAGAAACAACATCATCCCGGTGACCTTCACCACATCAGATGTGATCTTATCTCATCCTATGCAGTATTGAGTCCAGGGGTTCTAACTGCCAGCAGGGCCAGGCTGATAGTAACGGTGCATAGTGGCTCAAGCAGGAGGCAGTTGGTACTAAGCTGCAACTTTTCCCACCAAGGCAAAGGAGCAGAGTATGATAAAGATGTAGAGCTAGGCATGGTGGCTCACGCCTATAATGCCAGCACTTTGGGAGGCGTGGGTGGATCACCTGAGGTTAGCAGTTCGAGACCAGCCTGGCTAACATCGTGAAACCCCCTCTCTACTAAAAAATACAAAAATTAGCCAGGTGTGGTGGTGCATGCCTGTAATCCCAGCTACTTGAGAGGCTGAGGTACAAGAATCACTTGAACCTGGGAGGTGGGGGTTGCAGTGAGGCGAGATGGCACCACTGCACTCCAGCCTGGGCGACAGAGTGAGACTCTGCCTCAAAAAAAAAAAAAAAAAAAAAGATGTAGGTATCCTGTGAGCTGCCACATCTTGACCCCTGGAGGGAGCATAGGATTCAAGCAGTCAAGTGTTCAAGTCCTGGCTTATCATGTACTGTGTGACCCTGGGCAGCTAACTTCTCTGAGCTCAGTTTCCTTACCTGTAGGATGGGGTAGTCATATCTCATTAGGTCTTTGCAGGAAACATACAGGAGAGCAGCCAGAACATCTCCTGTACAGTGCCCGATATACATTAAGTGCTTAATAAATTACCGCTACCTCCATTCCAAAACCAGATGGTCATACACAGGCCCTCCTTCTCCACCCAGGCCTTACCAAATTAGCACAGTCCCAGCTGGCATTTTCTATCTGATGGGCTCTGAGGTTTCACCAGATGGTGAGGACTTGAAACCAGTTTTTAGACTGCTACTTGCATGTTCAGCCTCACCTGCTACCAAGAAACAAAGACTACAGATTCCCCTCTGCCCATGACAGGAATCTCCAGTTAAAACCCAAAACAGCTACAACACTCAACCAGCTATCCAATCTCTGCCAGGAACTAGGCTCTGGGTCAACTGGCCAATAGTGTCATTTCTGGCCGATGTCCCCAGAACACAATTGGCTTATATCCAGCAACCATAGACTGTCAATAGAATTTAGCTAACTACGAATCACATGTTGAGGCCCATTCACGGTAGCAGGCTGACAGAAGGGTGGATAGCTTAAAACTGGGTGCTCTCTAGCTATTGCCGTGTGTTTGTCAGTTGGTTGGTTGTGAGCCACTGCCCTGAAAATTTTCCAGGCTAGAAGATCCTGAACCATGCCCATGGGTCAGGACTTGTATCCAAACTTCAGACCAGACCAGGGTGGCCTGCTTTTTGAAGATCCTCTTGGCAATGCCTGTAGGTGCTTTTGTAGCCCACCTGTGGTCCTAGTTATACCCCTTGACTCAAAGCACTCACTATCTTCCCTGTGATTCTCTTTTCCAAGCACAAGAATTCGGGTTTAATCAGCACCATAAAATATTCACTCTCCAAATTCTTGTCAGAAAACAACTTCAAACATCTCATGTTCTATACACAGCTAAAAAAATATGGATGAAGCTAGATGCAGTGGCTCACGCCTGTAATCCCAGCATTTTGGGAGGCTGAGGCAGGAGGATCGCTTGAGCCCAGAAGTTTGAGACCAGCCTGGGCAACATGGCAAAACCCTGACTCTACAAAAATACAAAAAAATCAGCCAGGCATAGTGGCATGCATCTGTAGTCCCAGCTACTCAGGAGGCTGAGGTGGGAGGATCACCTGAGCCTGGGAGGTTGAGGCTGAAGTGAGCCATGATCATGCCAGTGCACTCCAGCCTAGGTGACAGAGTTAGATTCTGCCTCAAAAAAAAGAAAAGAAAAGAAAAGAAAAGAGGCTGGGTGCAGTGACTCACAGCTGTATTCCCAGCGCTTTGAGAGGCCAAGGTGGATGAGTCACCTGAGCTCAGGAGTTTGAGACCAGCCTGACTAACATGATGAAACCCTGTCTCTACTAAAAGTACAAAATTAGCCAGGTGTGGTGGCACATGCCTGTAATCCCAGCTACTTAGTAGGCTAAGGCACGAGAATCGCTTGAGCCCAGGAGGCAGAGGTTGCAGTGAGCTGAGATCGCGCCATTGCATTCCAGCCCGGGCAATAAGAGCAAAACTCCATCTAAAAAAAAAACTGAAATAAATAAATAAATAAAAAGTAACTGATCTGTAGGAGATTTGGAAAAAAATGTACTGAAAGCCCATGACCATAAAACCAGGTGTTTTTCCCAAATCCCTACATGTCCCCCCAGAAATTTCTACATGCCCATTCTCAAGGAAGCTATCTATCCAGCAACTGGACCTGGGATTGAAAGTGACTATGTCTGGTATGCTTTGTTAGCCCCCTATCTATCTCCATGAAGTGTGAATAATGCAATCATGGAATTTAAAATTTTTTATTTAAATTTGCGAGTGAATGGAGCAGTCAAATGTTTAAAACTCTCAAAGACAGATGATATGATATGTAAAAACCTCAAAGAGTCTACAGACAAATTATTTGAAATAAATGTGAGTTTAGAAAGGTGGCTGGATAAGGCCGGGAATGGCAGCTCACACCTGTAATCCCGGCATTTTGGGAGGCCAGGAGTTCGAGACCAGCCTGGCTAACATGGTGAAACCCCATCTCTACCAAAAATATAAAAATTAGCTAGACATGGTGGCATGCACCCATAATCGCAGCTACTTGGGAGGCTGAGGCAGGAGAATCACTTGAACCTGGAAGGCAGAGGTTGCAGTGAGCTGAGATCACAACACTGCACTGGGTGACAGAACAATACTCTGTCTGCAAAACCACAAACAAACAAACAAAAAAAGAAAGGTGGCTGGATATAAGATTAATATTTTACAAGTCAGCATAGTGGTCATCTCTGGAGGGAGGGACTATGGGTAGGGAGAAGCACAGATGCAAGCTATTAAGAAGCGATCTTTTGGGATGTTGGTCTGGGATGTTGATGAGACGTTGTCCCTAATTTCACAAAGTGTTCCAACAGCACCAGGAAACACTGTGTTTATGATGAACAACTGATTTATTTCTATCTTGTGGATTCTGAGAATGTTCTAATGGACCTTGTTCCCCTTTTTGCTTTGATTGCTAACACACAACCAAAATTTCACCTCTGCTTCTAGCAATCTTTGGGATGTATTTTGTGCTAAATGGGCCATGGCTTTATTTCCCTGCCTTTATTTTTCTCTCGTCCTGATTTCCTCATTAATTGTATCTTGTTAAACAACAGTACATAATTTTTATAAGTGGTCCCAAGTCGTTTTTTTGGAATAAGAAAAAAGTTAGCTAGCTGGCCAGAGATACTGGCAAAACCTATCCTTTCCCTCTCTTTTAACAAAGTTAGGCCTTTTTTGGGTAATTGAAATTTAATCTGCAATTTTAAAATGAGTACCACAGTTTGTGTCTGCTGCTATATTCTGAGCAATTAATTTAACAACAACAACAACAACAAAAATGGTGTCTGATCAGTCCATGAGGTAAAACAAGGTGATGGTTTAAATTCAAGTCATTTCCCCCAGCGTTACTCTTTGGAACTCTCTTTTTTGTCTTTATGTGCAACTTACAAGCTCCTGATTTAAGGAGCCTGCTGGATGGGCTCTCGACACAAAATTTTCTTTGGACCAGCCGGGCACGGTGGCTTATGCCTGTAATCCCAGCACTTTGGGAGGCCGAGGCAGGTGGATCACTTGAGGTCAGGAGTTCAAGACCAGCCTGGCCAACATGGCGAAACCCTGTCTCTACTGAAAATACAAAATTAGCTGGGTGTGGTGGTAGACGCCTGTAATCCCAGCTACTCGGGAGGCTGAGGCAGGAGAATTGCTTGAACCTGGGAGGCAGAGGTTGCAGTGAGTCAAGGTCATGCCATTGCACTCCAGCCTGGGCAACAAGAGCAAAACTCCATGTCAAAAAAATTTTTTTTTCTTTGGACCATATTAATTTCTCTGTACCCCTCAAATAATATAGTTCCCTCCCATCCAATCTCTTCCCTCTCAGAGACAATTAGGTCTCCTTCCATGACCTCTTCAGTACTTCCTCCTTCATTTTAAGCTATGCTGTGTATTCCAGTGACTCAAACAGGAGAGCAGAAATCAAGTGCATGGAGCCAGACCTGGGCCAAATCTCATCTCTGCTACTAACAAAGCTGTGTGACCTTTGGCACGTCCCTAAATTCCTCTGAGCCTCAGTTTGCTTATCCATACAATAGGCACAAGGAACCCAAGTATAAATGAGAACCTGAGTTTAAGTACTTAGAGTTCCTGGCACCTATAAAGTGCTTGAGAAATGTTAGATAGATTCTTCCAGTTACAGAAATAAAGTCAACACTTTTTTTTTTAATTTTAATTTTTTAGAGTCGGGGTCTTACTATGTTGTCCAGGCTATTCTTAAACTCCTGGCCTCAAGCAATCGTCCTGCCTCAGCCTCCCCAAGTGCTGCTATTATAGGCATGAGTTGAAAATCAACTATTCAGAGCTTTAAAGCTGTGTCTCCACTCCATGTTTCTAGGGCTTTTCTTTTTTTTCAAGTAAAAACCATATTTAAGGCTGGGCGTGGTGGCTCATGCCTGTAATCCCAGAACTTTGGGAGGCTGAGGTGGGCAGATCACTTGAGGTCAGGAGTTCAAAACCAGCCTCCTGGTTAACATGGTGAAACCCCATCTCTACTAAAGATACAAACACTAGCCAGGCATGGTGGCAGGTGCCTGTAATCCCAGCTACTCAGGAGGCTGGGGCAGGAGAATCACTTGAACCCGGGAGGCGGAGATTGCAGTGAGCCGAGATCGCACCACTGCACTCCAACCTGGGCGACAAAGCTAGACTCCATCTCAAAAAAATAAATAAAACAAAAACAAAACAAAAACCATATTTAACATTTTCAGGTTAATTTATAGTGACTTATCCAGCCTCCCAGTTTTGCTCACTCCACTGCGTGCTCTCCACACGAGTCATTCATCTGCTCTCCTGTTTACTGAACGAGCTCCCATCCCTGACTGGTCATGCCCTAGACCAGCAGACAGTGCTGGATACAGAAGGGAGTCAGACACACCAGGTTCAAACCCCTGATCCCACAGTCCTTAGCTGGGTGATCTTGGGAGTTATCTAACCTCTCTGGGCCACCATGTCTCCACCTACAAAATAAGAACACGAATATCTGCCTTCTCCGGTAACTTTAACCTAAACAGTGACTGCACCAAAGTAGCTGAGGGCACAGAAGGGGCCGTGTATATACTGCCCAGTGCCTGGCCCCTGGTTGACATCTTCTGCCTTCTTCCTTAGCACCATTCATAGCAAACATTTAAGGGGGTTTTTCTATGCCAAGCACTGTCCCCCACACTGGGGGTTCAGAGAACAGTGAGGCTGGCAGTCTGCCCTTGGAGAGCTTGGTCTGCACTCCACAGCTCTTCCTACTCTGGGCCATCCAGCCTCAACACAATCCTTGCCTGAGCCTCCTACTGAGCAGTCCTAGTTCATTTGATTTTTATAAAAGCCCTCCCTTTTTAAAAAACAATTTTAAAGCAAATTTGACTAAAGCACCAAGCAGTGGTTTTTTTAGTGGGGCTGGTACCCACTAGCACGGGGCACTTCCACCATCTTGCTTTTATAAGCAACTCTAACACACATCATCTGCTCAAAGAAACAAACTCGGCCAGGCGTGGTGGCTCACACCTGTAATCCCAGCTCTTTGGGAGGCCTAGGCGGGTGGATCACCTGAGGTCAAGAGTTTGAGACCCACTGGCCAACATGGTGAAACCTCGCCTCTACTAAAAATACAAAAATTAGCCGGGCATGGTAGCGGGCACCTGTAATCCCAGCTACTCAGGAGGCTGAGGCAGGAGAATCACTTGAACCCAGGAGATGGAGGTTGCAGTGAGCCAAGATCGCACCACTGCACTCCAGCCTGGGCAATAGAGCAAAAACTCCATCTCAAAAAATAAATTAATTAACAATAAACGAACTCAGTGTATGCACTGGCAGGAACACCACATTCCTATGGCTAGCTCGAACAGACAAAGGAGAAGAGAGGGCAGGATGGAAAAAGGAAAAGCATTTTATAAAATCTATCAAGATATGAGTCTCAGCCCTTCATCTTAACACAAATATCATTGACAAAACAACAAAAACAGTGGCCTAGTTTTTACTGCCACAACAACCACCACCTCCTTTGCTATAGCTGCTCTTCAAGATGCCTCCACAATGATCCTTGCCCTCTGCTCATCACACTTACATGTGGTCACCTCCCACATTAACAACAAAATACTCCATCAGGTAATAAAAGATAATGCAGCTTTTATCCCGGCCACTCTCTTCTCCTGTCTGGGATCCCTCATTCTGGGCAAAGCCAGCAGTCATGTCATGAGTAGCCCTGTGGACGGCCCTTAGGATGAGGAATTAAGGCCTCCAGCCCATAGCCTCGGGAGTGAGCTCGGAAGCAGATTCTCCAGACTCAGTCAAGCCTTCAGATAAACTGCAACCCTGACCAACAATTTATCTGTGATCTAATGAGACCCGGTGCCAGCACCACCCAACTCAGCCACTCCTGCATTCCTGACCCTCAGAAACTTCGGGATAATAAATCTGTGTTATCTTAAGCCAGTAAGTTTTAGGTAAATTGCTAAGCAGCAGTAAGTAACAAATATGCTATACAACCAAACTTCAAAAGTCTCTACTCCATTCTTGTTTTGATGATATGGAAAACATTATCTTCTTTCTAAATAAACCAGCCAAGCCCAGCCAAACTGAATTACTGCCTGGAGGTCTCACTATTTACACAGTGACTGTTCACAACCCGGGGGACACGGACACAGGCCCTGGGAGGTGCATGGGTGGGTGTTAGGAGGCTCATCAACCACCTCCAATTGTGTGCAAATGTGTGCTTTTTCTGGAGAGAGGGCTCACAGATCTCCTTACTGAATCCCAAAGGGCTCAGGACTATTGTGATGAAGGGTGGGGCTGTGGGACAGCCTAAAGAGGTCAGATCTTTTCAACCTGGAGAGATGAAGGTTGACGAGAAGGATCCAAAGTTGTGAAGTCACCGCGGAAGAGCCAGTGACCACAGTGCCAAACCCCAAAATGCTAAAACAGTGGGACCTTGACCTCAAGGCCACTCATCAATAGATGGTGGCGCTCCCTGGAAACATGCGGCACCATGAGTCGGCCAGCCACCTGGCCCTCAACCTGGAAATGACTCAGAGAGAAAGTGGAGGGTGCAGGAGAAGGAGGGGCTGCCCACCCTCATCAGGAAAATTACTGGGAGCCACGAAGCATAGAGCCCCTGATGAACTTCTGTGTTCATCTGAGAGCACGCTGAGCCATCTTCCTACCCGAATCTCAAGCATCTCCAAGTTCAGTTCAAGTTTTCATCAATGAGACATGTGTCGAGCACCTGTGCCAGGTTCTGGGCTGACAGAGTAAATAAGAAATCATCCTTGCTGTCCCAAACAGCGAAGGTTGGCGGGGCCCACATAGCTGGACTCCAGTGATATCAGTAAGCACCAAGAGGAAGGGCTGCCCAGGAGAGGTCAAGGAGTCTGAAGGAAGTGACCACTGAACTGAACCTGCCAGGCCAAGGACAGGCAGTGGGGTGCTCCAGGTAGGAGGACAGCGTGTACCAGGACACAGGGGTGTGAGAAACCAGTGCATTCTGGGCATGGCCCATTACAGAAACCAGAGTGTGGGGCTAGAGAGGCCAGGTGGCTGGGTCTGTGGTGCCAGAATGGAGGGCCAGCCTGCTGTGCTGACAAGCTGGGCCCTGTTCTGAAGGTGTCAGGAGGGGTGTGACAGCACCCGAGGCCAGTAAACAACCTGGAAGTGGTCCAGGTGAAAGCTGATGAGGCCTGAGCTAGGTGGGTGCAGTGGGGATGAGGGAAGGATAGGCTGGGGATCTCTTGAGTGGACTCAACAGGACTTGTTTCTAGGGTGTTGAAAATGTTCTAGAAAGAATCCCAGCACTTTGGAAGGCTGAGGCAGGTGATCACTTAAGGTCAGGAGTTTGAGAACAGCCTGGCCAACATGGTGAAACCTCGTCTCTACTAAAATTACAAAAATTAGCCGGGCATGGTGGTGTGTGCCTGTAACTGCAGCTACTCAGGAAGCTGAGTCAGGAGAATTGCTTGAATCTGGGAGGTGAAGGTTGCAGTGAGCTGAGATCCAACCACTGCACTCCAGCCTGGGCGACAAAAAAAAAAAAAAAAAGAAAGAATATGTTCTATAACTAGACAATGGTGATGGTTGCACAACACTGTGAATGTACTAAATGTCATGAATAATAAATGTCATATTATTTTACCACAATTTAAAAAAAGATTTTGTATTTTACCACAATTTAAAAAAAGATTTTGTTTGACTGGCTATGGGGTTGAAAGAATGGAAGATAAACTTCCTGGATTAGATTCCCAGGAGGATGTATGTGCCACCAAACTAAAATAGAAAATGCCACACGCAGCTGGGTGTGGTGGCTCATGTCTGTTATCCCAGCACTTTGGGAGGCCAAGCAGGAGGATGGCTTAAGTCCAGGAGTTCGAGACCAGCCTGGGCAACAAAATGAGACCCTAGTCTCTACAAAAACAAAAACAAAACTAAAACTAAACAAACAAACAAACAAACAAAAAAACAGAAAAAGATAAGGAAGGAAGACAAAGTGATGGTGGTATAGCTGGGTGCCAGGGGCCAGTAGGAGGACCGAGAGGAGACATCAAAGGTCAGCCTGTGTTAACTGGAGGCTCAAGGCAGAGGCCAGGGCTGGACAGTGAAGGTGGGAGGCGTGTGGATTTAGGGGAGGGGGGAATGTGGAGGTGTTGAGAGAGGAGCTGGTCTCCAGGGAGGATAAGACCAGGAGCCTGCAGAGACCAGGACAGGGTTCAGACTCCAGGAGAAGACAAAGTAAGTTCAAAGTCAACCCTGGGGGAGCAGGAGGAGGGTTTGTTAGAGAGGGAGGAGACAAAGCAGGGAAGAGGATGGCGAAGGTCAAGGAGGGAGGCTTTGGGGCATGATCAAAAGTCAAAGGCAGGAAAGGGGTACAGGGAGCTGAGGGCTGGAAGTGTCCGTTGCATTTGGCATCAGGTGGTCCTTGGTGACCCCTCAGCCAGAGGAGACCCAACAGCCAGAGAAGTGGGGCCTGAGGCCAGGCTGCTGGGAGGCAAGGAGTGTCTGAGAGGTAACGGGGGTAGGGACAGATCATAAACTAACTTTCAGAGAGGTTTGACTGAGAAAGGAAACTAGAAAGGCCAGATGTGGGGGACACAAGATAAATGGCGGGGCTGGGTGCCTGCATGTGCTTTTTCTTTTTCCTAAAAAAAGAGTTCTCATTCATGTTTGTACACGGAAAGAACAGAGCCAGAAGCAGAAATAGAGATTCTACAAGTGGTGGTAGGGGAGAGGGACATGAATGCAAGTAGGTGTGGGGTCCTGGGGGCGATGGAGGGGCTCAGCCTGGCTGGCCCCGATCAGCTGAGGAGCGGAGTGCACATGTCCTCCCAGGCTGGAAGGGAAGCCGAGAGGATGGGTGGGGAGGCTGATAAGCCCACAGCCAGGCCCAGGCGGGAAGTTGAGGGAGTTCCCTCCAGATGACTGTTTTCTAGGTGAAGATGGGGCAGCAGTGACCCACTGAGGCAAGGCAGCTGCAGTGAGGTGCGAGGAGGGGAACAAGGAGGCCTGAGATGAAAGGAAGGGAAAGGGCTGAGGCTGTCCCAGGACCCCAGCCACAGAGCGGGAGATGCAGAGCAAGCCTGCAGGCCACGCACTGCAAATGCTGGCCTTGGGGGGCCTAAGGAATGGAGACCTCATTCCAGCCCCCGCCCTGTCCACCCCCAGTGTTGACCCTGCTCGCTTGGTGCCTTGTGGCCTCCAGATCTGTTTCCTTGAGTGTAAAACAAGGCAGAGGCCCCAGGAAGCGGTGGGAGAGTCGCTCCCTGTACCACGTTCTGTAGTTCCAGTGTCTTCCCTGAAGGTACAAAGAACATTCTCTAGGAACCCAAAGAAGCGAGCAATTGATTTCCATGTGGGATGGAGGGGGAGAGGGGAGAGCACCACGGTTTTGGGAAACAGGATGTTGCAGGTGAGAAAAAGAGGAACCCCAAAGCGTGCATGTCTGCAGGGCAGGGTCTGGGCCAAAGGGTGTGGTCTGGGAGGGTACCAGGGCTGGAGTGGACAAAGGGAGAGTGGGTGGGGCAGGAGCCACAGTTGTAAAGGTGGGCTAGGACTGTGTAGTAAACACCACTGTCATTTACCAATCACTGCGTGACAGGGGCCAATTAATCACCTCCTTTTGTCCAGTCTCAACTTCATACCCACTTCATGCCCATGAAGTTCTCTTATCATCCCCATGTTACAGATTGGGAAAATAGCTCAAAGAGGTTAAGTAAAACTGGTCTGAAAGATTTGAGTCAGGCTTATGGCTCCAGACAAATGGTGCGGCTTCAGAGAGTAGAAGTTCCAGTGCCAGTGCCCAGCCAACTGCCTCTCTCATGGACAAATCAGTTCTTTCTTTCTTTCTTTCTTTCTTTTTTCTGAGACAAAGTCCTGCTTCATTGCCCAGGCTGCAGTGCAGTGGCACGATCTTGGCTCACCAAATCTGTGCCTCCCAGGTTCAAGCGATTCTCATGCCCCTGCCTCCCAAGTAGCTGGGATTACAGGCATGTGCCACCATGTCCAGCTAATTTTTTGTATTTTTAGTAGAGACGGGGTTTCGCTATGTTGGCCAGGCTAGTTTTGAATTCCTGGCTTCAAGTGATTCGGCCACCTCAGTCTCCCAAAGTGCTGGCATTACAGGGGTGAGCCAACACAGCTGGTAAAATCGGTTATTTCTGAGGCTTAGTGACACCATCAGTCCAGCAGGATAATTATGAAGATAATGGATATCCTGCCTCCCTGGGTTGCCACGGGGATCAAATGCCCAAAGAAGCACTGTACAGTTGAGCAGAGAAGTCTGGCAGAGTTCTTTGCCAGTGGCCAACTAGCCCTCCCCAGCCTGGGGCCACTGCTCTGAAGCTTGACTCACCAGCTAGCCTTGCCCATGGACTTCACTTCCAAAGAGCTGTGCAATTTGCCTGCAACCCAGTCACCTCCATTCTTTGCTGATTGCAGTGACTTCTGACAAGGAAATAGTATGTTAAGATTGTTGCAAAGTAAATTGGTTTTTTTGCCGTTATCCTTTATTAAAAATGCAAAAATGCCACTATTAATAGCATGCCATTTCTTTTTTTTTTGCTTTTTTTTTTTTGAGACAGAGTCTTCTGTCACCCGACTGGAGTGGAGTGGCGCAATCCTGTGCGCTCACTGCACCCCTCTCACCTCCTGGGGTCTCAAGGGAATTCTCCTGTCTCAGCCTCCTAAAAGTACGCTGCGAATTACAGGCGTGCGCCACCTGCCCACCAGTTAACTTTTTGTATCTTTAGTAGAAATGGGTGTTTCCACCATGTTGCCAGGCCTGGCTCTGAACCCCTAACCCTCATGCGATCCGCCCGCCCCTCAGCCTTCCAAAGTTGCTGGGATTACAGTGACCCCGTGGCCCGGCCCTCAAATTTTCTAAAAGATTCCCAGTGCATTGCCCTGTTTTGGGATTGGGGGAGGTGATTTTTTTTTTTTTAAACTGATCAATTGCCATAGTTTTTTTAGCTTAAAAATTATTTGAATATTTGTAAAACTAATCCCAATTGTTTTATTGCCCCAAATGAATATAATTGATCCTGCTTAAACATATGAAGTACAGATTCTAAGTTAAAATTGTGCTACATTTTTACTCTAAGATAGAGAACTCAATGTCTATAATAATCGTGCTTGCCACATAGGGAAAGTGGGGTGCTGGCCTATCTTTGAAAGCCTGCTTAAATCCTCACTTTAGAGCCTAATTTGAACCTGTCTGAAGGATAAAGAGGGTTCGTCTGCCTCTCTGGGGACCACATGAATGAACGGGACTCACTAGTAGTCTGGGGCTGTGAAGTAATGGAAAAACCCACACGACGGCTAATTC